GAATGGCAATGCTGCTAGAAACTATAGAACAATCTTTTATTAGACAGGAGTTCTTCTTTAATTCAGTAAAACCATTGTGGGGGATTCTAAATAGATAGAAACTAGCTACAGATGCCACCTACTGGACAAACTTCTTAGAACTCAGACTACTCTGCATGTAAGCATGTGTAGAACACAGCCGATTTCTTCCAGCATCCAGCTATGCTAGTGATAATATTAGGTGTTCAATTAATACCAGAAAAAAAAAACAAAAAAAACAATGAACCTACAATTATCAAGATTGGAAAGTATATTTCAAAATGACATAGTACATGAGAAGTTCTCTGTAATTGGTTGTCATGAGTAGCAACTATATATGTTATTTTACCCCGTTTGGTGCTAAAAGTTCAACCCTTCCAATGGTGGCCACACACACTTCGATAAATGATCAATCTCTTTTCCAATCTAAATTTGCACAGCCTATATGCAAATGGAGGCTTGCCTCCATAAAATGACATCTCTGTACAAATGAGGTCAAACAAGCCGTATGCCAAGGACAGGCTTCATCAGTAGGATATTGACATTGTGGCTCCTATCCTACTGATGAAGCCTGTCCTTGGGTGTAACACATATAGGAAGGAGGGCCACATTCATGATGCCATTTCTGGATGGGCAGTGAGATGTCCAGACCTGTGATGTTATTTTAATGAGCTATTTGAGCACTTGTTGTTCTTTAGTTTTATGGGAGTGTTTTTATGCCATTTGTTTTATTAAATTGAGTATATACAGAAAGCACCATTTGTCCTCCATTTTATGCTTTGCATATACCATGAACTGCTTTGAGGAAAGAGTGATGAGATACCTTTCATCATCTGCCCAAGCACCACTGGTCTTTGAAGGTATAGAGCCCAGCAGGAAACAGCCTAAAGCGCTTATTTATTTTATGTATTACAGGCACTTATATACATCAATTTATGCAGCGCTTTACATATATATATATTGTACATTCACATCAGTTCCTAACCCTCAAGGGGTGTACAATCTAAGGTCCCTAACTCACATCCATACATACACATACTAGGGCCAATTTAGACAGGATACAATTAACCTACCAGCATGTCTTTGGAGTGTGGGAGGAAACCGGAGTACTCCAAGGAAACCCACGCAACCTCATGTGACTTGGAGGTCTTGTAAGGAGGTGAGAGTACATTTTTGCATGCTTGGGGATATTCGGGGATAAGGATCACATCTTAGCATGGTTTGGCACCTGTTGTGCTTTCACTGAATGTGAGTTTTTGTGCGATCTGTTCACCTATGATTGAGTATCAGCGATCACGGTTTGTTTCCCATTTTATGTTTTGAATATGCTATCAACTGTTAGAAAACGTTTTGTGATATCTGCCAACAGCTGTCCATATGCTACAAGTCATTGAGGGTTTGAACTCCAGCAGGAGACCTCTTTGAGTGTTTGTTTGACCTCATTTGTACAGAGAGGTCATTTAAGGAGGTGGGAGTCCATTAGCACATAGGCTATAAGCATGCAAGGTGATGTTCAGGAAGATTTGACCCTTATAAACATTAATTTAAAACACAGATTAATGGACACATTGATGGTCATTTTTTTTAATTATTATTTGTTGCACTACACTATAATGCAGTATTTTCTTGATTCACACAATGTAGATCAATAAAGAACATCCAACAATGAAAGCAAATAGCCGGGTAGCATTCAATTTTGTACCCATTTGCACAGAAAGAAATTATATGCATTTTGCAGACCGAGTCTTTATTAAGACTCCCCAAAGAATTTAAAATAAAGAACAAAAAGTATGCCATCATCTAAAAATGATGCCTAAAAAAAAAAATAAAAATGAATATACAAAAATACAATTGCGTTCAAAACTTGTTAGCAAAGTTTTCACAGTAAACGTACGCATACAACTTGTCTTTGTCTGTAGAGAATATCATTGGTGTATTTGTTTACCCAACACGTACAGAAGAAATAAACCCCACATACCATCCTGTCTAGAAGGAAGAAGTTTATCAAAGTAACAGATTTAAAGGAACTCAATTTGGCAACACAAATATTTAAAGTTTATATTTTTTGAAGTAGTGAGGTGACATCTGCAGCCTAAGTTCCTCAAGATGAATCATTCAAAACCAGACAAGCTAGCATGCATTTTAATTCCCAAGGCAGTGCAAGGCCCCATATGCGGGAAGGATTGACCACAACTGGGAGGTCATAAAACAAAGTAAAGGAAAATAATTCAACAACTAAAATTAGCAAATATGTGGAACACATTTGGAACAATTACCACTGTTTAGGAAATACTATAAAGGAATGTAAATAATGAGGAAAAAAAACCATCTGTATTATAGTAACTTTTCTTGCGGGGTATTTTGCAGAAGCGTCCCTTTGTTTGGTAACACCAGGCTGTACTGGGGGCAAAGAACCTCTAAAAATAAAATCAGAGATAAAAATTGATGTATATATATATTTCAGGAAACATAACTGGGCTAAATCTAAAAATCCACACATGTACTCTTAGTTTTTTTTTCAAACCAGAGAAGCTAGGATATATGCCTTTAAAGTGTACTTTATAAAGAGTTTTGAACAGATAAGACTTTTTTTTTTACTTTTTTCTAACCTCCGGAATGGATTAATTGGTTTTCAGTGCATTTACAAATTCATTTTTAATCATGTCCCTGTACAGTATTTATGCCTTTAAAGTGCACTTTATAAAGATCTTTGAACAGATAAAAGACTTTTTTACTTTTTTCTGACCTCCGGAATGGATTAATGGGTTTTCAATACATTCCTATGGAAAACCGCGTTTCGGTTTACAAATTTTTCACAATACAAAAAGTCCCGCAGAGCGCATTAAATTTGTAAAATGAGGTACACCTGTATTGTACAAATACAAGAGTCATGTGTATTACTGCTTGAATCTTGGTGTACTTTGTGTATTTCTTCCAGATCTGTGTAGTATTCCAGTATGACACTTTGGGGTTTATTTACTAAAGCTGGAGAGTCCAAAATCAGACTCCCTTCTGCATAGAAACCAATCAGCTTCTAACCTCAGCTTGTTCAATGAAGCTTTGGCAATGAAACGTGGAAGCTGATTGGTTTCTATGCAGAAGGGAGTCTGATTTTGGACTCTCCAGCTTTAGTAAATAAACCCCTATACCTCTGTACAGGAGATTCCTGTAGTAAAGACTGATCACTGCTGTTCCTTCTCTTCTGCAGGGTGACTGGTCTTGTCTCCACCCCTACTATAGTGTTCTATAGGCAGCCTGTAATGGGTGGAGCTGCAGGGCCCCTCCCACAGCTGTTTTCTGCACAGGCTATGTACAGCACAGTGATGATGCCAATGCTATGTTTAGGTAATATCAAGGTTTACAAAAGCATTTGAAGCACATAGAGTGAATTTATGTGCTTTGTTGCTATAGATGAGAATATTTTAATGATTGTGCCCAGTGTTTTGTGTATTCATATATATAGACAGCCATGTTCCTCACACTCTGTTAAACACCCTATTACAGTTTACCACCTTGTGAAATAGGCTAGCATGGCTGTTAAGTGTTATGTAAAAGAAAAGAAAAGAAAGAAAAAAAAAAAAAACCCCACTAAGGGTCCATGCCCACTGGCCATAAAAATGCTGCTTTTACAGGACTTTGACATTTCTTCTTCAAGCAGATTTATGTTAGTGTATTTATCCAAGTGCATTAGGGATTTAACAGGCATAGTTGCAGAGAAGTGTTTTCAGGCAGAAAAAAAAAATAAAAAATCAGAATCGAAGTTTGAACAGAAAAAAAAACTCTTGATGCGCATAAACATTCAGCGTTTAAGTATACATTGATTATAGTGAAAAATGAGCAGAGGGGAATGTTTTGGGAAAAAAACTCTCAAACTCTTCTGTAATACGAGCCTCTATGACCAATTGTATGCGGCTTTTTCTGTCAGAGATTCTGACATTTTTTCAGCCACCTAATGGTACATATTTTGTTTATTTAAAGTGTATCCAAACCCAAGAATATACATTAATAGAACTGCAGCTTCCTGGTGCTTAGATGGTTTTATTTTTTTCACTTTTTCTTTATTTTACCTGGTAATCCTGCCACTAACTCACTTCCTGTTTTACATACTAAGTAGCGGTTTCACCCCTGCACAGGGAGTGTGTTGGAACAACATAATATGTTAGGACTACATAACAACTCCCCCTCTTCTCCATAACTGGGGAAGAGGTTTTGTAGGCCGGAGAGAAAGCAGCCAACAATGTTAACTGGTTCAGAGGCATAAAGTACAGGAAGCTATCAGCTGGCAAGATTTCTGGTTGAATGAACAGATTTTTTTTTCCTTCACTTGTCAAGCAGATATAATAAAATGTGGTCAGTGGTATATTTAAGAGACCAAGAGCGCAAATAAGAGAAATGTATGGTTAGCGTTTAAATACACGTTAAGATTCTACGGTCTGCATTTGTACCTTAATCTCATAAACAGCAAGGCTGTGTTATTCCTACTGTATTATTGCAGCATTTAGGTAAAGTTGCCTTCTAGGGATGGTGGAATTGACAGAGGAAGAGAAGTAGATGATTAGTGTCATCACTCATTTAACTCTATATCATACGTGTGCCAGAAAAAAACTATTTTAACTAAAAGAAAAATGCAGAGGCAACAGAGCAATCTTTGTATGAAAGGATATCTACACCTAAAAATAATGTAGTATATTGCAGCATACTAGTCTTTATCTGTCAGGCTGCATTTGTTTCTTTTTCATGCCAAGTCTACTTTCGGCATGTCTAGAACATCTTGTAAGAAATGCAGCGTTACTTCCTGTGAGCTAAAAAGACAATCTAAACAACTTTATTTCTCTTTTGTAACCTAGTCCCATCAATCCACCATGTAATGGAGTTGAATAAAAAAGGTAAACAGGTTGGAAGTTCAGCCTACGTGACAGCCATGGGTCCATCCATAGATATAATGGAGAATTCAGTGTAGACACAAAGGAGTTTATTTACTAAAGCTGGTTCACGCAGAATCTGGTGCAGCTGTGTATGGTAGCCAATCAGCTTCTAACATCAGCTTGTTCAATAAGCCCCGGTTCACATATATGCTGCCGTGAGGGCAGCGTTTTGCACGGGCACGAGAGCCCATTCATTTGAATGGACTCCTGTGCCCGTGACACACAGGGAAGAAGTCCCTGCACTTCTTCCAAAAACGCAGCCCACATGGGAACCTCGGTTCCCAGTACGGTTGCGTTTACCAGTGCCGGCAGCATGCCATTAGAACTAATGGCACCCGCCAGAGGGTCCGCATTTCTCTGTGCGGGGGTGGTGCGGTGCACGGATTTTAGTGCGGATCTGCAGCTGCACCACCCGCACAGATGTGAACCTAGCCTAAAGCTTTAGAAATAAAACCTGGAAGAAGATTGGTTTCTATGCAGAAGTGTACAAGCTTTAGTAAATAAACCCCACCGGGACCAGAAGTATTTTGCTGGACAGGTTAGCTGCAATATATGAAAATGATGCTTCTGGGTTGAGATGCATTTTAAATTAAATGTCAAGGTATAATATACATTATATATATATATATATATATATATATATTACATCTCCCCACTACAAATTGTATACAAAGAGAGATCAGCTCACAAGATTTCTGGCAGGATCAACAGGTACTTTTTGCACTTCTGGAACAGATATAACAAAACACTTTCAATGGTATATTTAATCAAAAGCCTGCAAATAAAAGAAGTTCAATGTCAGGACTTACATACACTTTAAGGATATACTATATTTACTTTTATTTGGATAATGTGCCTTTAAAAATAAAAAAGAATGAACCGTGACTTTCATTTAGAAATCAAGTGATGGAAAAGAATCCCATTCAATAATTTAAAGTAATAAAATCCTGAGCTCTAGTAAACATTTTTTAATAAAGAGAGTTTTCTTATTTAAAAGGAATAACACTACAGACTAGTAATAAATACCCATTTGTAGATCATAAAATCACAGAACAGCTATAAAGGCCCATGTGGAACTTATAAACATAAAAAAGAATAGTTGAGGGGTCTAATGGATGACGTGCCATCATTTTTGGGGAATATATATATATATATATATATATATTTTGTTTTTTATAAATAATGTTTTGCTTTCTTTACTGGTGACAAGAAGACAGATGGTTGGAATCGGTGTTGAGATCATCCATTTCTCTGTGGTTTTCTGCTTGTATATACAGTGATGGCCATACAGCACATGTAAGGTTCTGATTAGGAACAGATCAGTGGTGTAAATGGGAATGGTATAGCAACTGCTACTAGGCCCATGGCCCACAGACCTGGCAGCGGGAAGTAAGGGGTGGGGGAGGGTCCAGCTCTGTCAATGATTCTTAAATGCTTGCTCTTTTTCTTCTCTTTACATTAGTGGAAGCATGATCTTGAATGTGGGTCAAAGATTTCTCTACACCTCCCAGCAATCCTCCCCTGCTGGCCTCTGTCAATCTCTTTGTTGGCTTCCACTGAAAGAGCAGATGGAAACAAGAGCTTGCAGCCAACTGTGCCAATGTTACTGGAAATACCTTCAACATGATAAGAAGCAGCAATAGCAGAGGCTACCCAAACAATGTTCCAAAGAAGCAAACGATAGCTTTATGTACTCTATGAGTAATGGGATTTACATGCCAGTTAAAGTGTGTGTTCAGCATTATCAAAATGTTCCCCTAAACCTTCCTATACTCTAGCACAGGTTCCATTATTACTACTTCCTGCAACAAGAAAACACGTTCATTGCTTCCTGTGATATCACCACCAGGCTTGTAAATTCCTGCAAGGGCAGCTGCTGATTGCTCAGTTCCGACTGATGTAGGGAACTACATCTTACAAGAGCACATTTCCTATACAGTGACAGAGAGAACAGAAAGAGGTGAGAGGAGACTAGTCAATGTTCTTTTGTCCAGCAGGTGGGCCTGATAGCATTACTTAGGATTTTAGTACAAAAGGGGCACTGTGCTGCCAGCTCAAATAGGAATTTAGGAGCACATCAGATTTCTAGCAGACCAGCAGGTATTTGTTGTAGGTTCCCTATGTGATAGCAATAAAATCATAAGTTTAAAAAAAAAAAAAAAAAACGCACATTAAAAGTTAAAAATTGAGCCTCAACACCCCCACATACGCAGACATTTCGGTTTTCGGCACCAGAATTTTCACTTCAGTGCACCACTACTAAATTTTTCATTTTCCCTCAATATCCTTTGTGTGATCATCCTGAGGAACTCTCATCTACACCTTAGTTCAACTTCATACCAACTGGGCCCCAACAAGCGCACAGAAGACTCCACAGTATTCTTAAAAGGGCATTGGTCAATAATAAACGAGAGCTCTCTACACTTCAAATCTAATCCTCATCAGGTTCTGGAAGACTTACAGTGAGTTTACCTGTTGTTCTCACTCACTGGGGATTCAACAGTCCTCTCAGATTGGAGGCATTGGATTATTTCTGAAAGCAGGCCTGCTAACAGTCCCTAGTATTTTACTGTGGATGCTGTCATTTTTACTAAAAATTGACAAGAGTGATCTTATTTGCTGCGTGTGCCAAAGTTATTTTGTTCTTTTTGATGATGCTACGTTTAAATGCCATATAAACTTTATATTGGTTTACACTATCCTGTGTGAGTCCATTTTAAAGTGGTAACTTATTCTGGTCACCAGAGTATGATGGTGTCAGCAGAGGTTGGGCTTTCAAAGAGAGGTCCAAATTGACAGGGACCCAAAAATTACTAAGCAATCCTTAAGGGAGTAGCGCTACAGACTAAAAAAAACCCCCAAAACACACAAAACCGCCCATTTAGTTAGAAAACGGTTTGATTCTCCCATAAACACAGCTAGTTGAAGGGGGAATCCCCCCTGCAGTGCTATGGTGTTCTGCTGGAGAGGAGCTTTCCTTACCGACAGAACCCAAACAGTGTTGCCAGCCATAGCCAGCGTCACTAATCGTTCAAGAAAAATCCAACAGGCTGGTTGTACACAAGTCGATCAATCAACCTGTGTACAACCAGTGTGCCCATACATAAGTTGAAATTCAGCCAGTCCCTGCTCAACTGGCAAATTTCGATCCATTTATGGTCGGCTTAATTGTGCGGTTTCCCTTTAAATATTGTAAAGCGCTCACCAAACTGTCGATGCTATAAATTCCTGTATAATAATACAGCAAGGCGGGAAAGGAGTAGAATCAAAATGGAGCTGAAAAATGTAATGCTTTATCTCCTGGGTTCTCTGCTGGTAAGATCCCTCTGCTGAGTTCCCAGATTTGCACACCTGCTATGTTCAGCATGAAGGGTGTTATATTTTTTTAATTTAAAAAAAATCTTTAATTTTACAAATATTTATTACAGGACTCATTTACAATGCTATGTTTGCACATCATAATGGCATTTCAAATAAAGCCTAGCAGTGAATGTGTTTTTTTCATAGTCAAGACTGATTAATTAAAGTAGGTCTGAAATGAGGATTTATTTTATAGGGAATGTCTAAAAAAGTTCAAATCAAACTTTTCCTCTACCATTATGGCCATCTTCACCCAGCCAAACCATGAAGAACACAGTATGGTAAATTGGTAAGGGGTAAATGATCAGCTGCAGAAATCCTCTCTAGGCAGCACTGATGACTAGTTTTTGGCCTCGGTTTGTTTTTTTGAGCACAGCTTCCACAGTTTAATAGCTTCCACTCTGTAAGGGCTTGTATACAATGAAGTCACCACGCTCAGTGTTCAGTCCAGCATGTGCGTTTACATGCATTTGTGATGTGTTTACAGTATGTTTTGTCACATTTGCAGTCAATTTTTTTAGCCATTATTTCTTATTTTTTTCTTTTTACCGAGTTACATTTACATGCATTTTCATTCATGTGCATTGTGATATATTCAAACATGCAAAAAAAAAAAATGCAGCATGGAGTCATTTTTTAAATGCACAATAAAAGTACCATATCGGTGTAAACTAGGGTCTTTGAAACACATAAATTTTTCTTTCATAAGCATTCATGCTGCGTTTAGAAATTTGTTTGACTGCATCTAATGAGAACAAGGCCTTCACTCTCTGCTTACAGAGAAGTGCTTGCTCTTCAGGTTTATTTCCTCCTCTTAAATAGATCTCCACCAGCTGGCTGCAAGTGTTTAATATGGAATTTTCTTATGCAGTATTTCATTATTTTCCGATCAAAAAGAACAGAAGAAATCTTTTTATAAGTACTATGCTGAATAAGAGACAAAAAACAAACACTATATATTTTTAAATTGAACAATGATTTAAAGTAGAACTAAAAGGCAAAACTTTTATTTTTGTTTTTGGATAGAGTGGAGAGGGATTAAAATGCCTGTCTTCCCATGAGAGAGGTTCACCCTCTTTATGGGTCCTGTTTACCATTATCACTGAAAGTGAAAGTAAAAGAAAAAACCCACATTATTATTATTATTATTATACAGTATTTATAAAGCGCCAATAGTTCGCTCAGCGCTGTACATTACAAAGGGGGACAGAACATGTGACAGAACAATACCAATACAATGCAAAACATGAGGGGATCGAGGGCCCTGCTCTTTCGAGCTTACAATCTAGGAGGGAGGGGATGGTGGTACAGAAGGAGATAGCTGTGGGGGATGGAGTGATAGGAAGAGTGGAGGAGGTCAGCAGGTTAGCAGGGGGTGGGGTAGGCTTCCCTGAAGAGATGGGTTTTCAGGGTGTGCCTAAAGGAGAGGAGAGTAGGTGATAATCTGATGGGTTGGGGCAGGGAGTTCCAGAGGATGGGTGACACCCTGGAGAAGTCCTGGAGGCGGGCATGGGAGGAGGAGACCAGGGAACTAGAGAGAAGGAGGTCTTGTGAGGAGCGGAGTGTGCGTGCTGGGTGGTACTTGGATACCGGACATTGGTATCGGACATTTTGCATTGTCCTCTGAAAAGTATTAAAGGGGAAATCTTCCAATGGGGACACTAGTTCTGGTGACCTGGGGGTCCCCAAGGAATTTCCTTAATCTGCACAGATTTCCTCTCACTTCCTGTTTAGCTATAGGACAGGAAGTAAAGGAAAATCTCCCCAATGGGACACAGATGGCAAAAAACAAAATCTGACTGGCTATAACTCTCCCGTGTTCTATCCAAAATGGAAGAAAAAATTCTACTTTAATGACTGAATTTAATTTTTTTTTGACTCGGCAAAACAAAACCCTTGTGTAGTTTTGTATAATAAACATTTTCTTGTTGTGAAGTCAAATAGTAAATCTCTGATTTATTCATGCATCTCATATTTAAAAATGTCATATTCAATCGGCTTCTAGGAGCGATACCTGAGGGAAACTGCGTCTTATTCTTGGACAAGAACATACTTTGAGCATTTCTTTAATTTGTCACATACTTGGATAATGTGCAGCATTTCTAATTACATTGCAGTTTTACACATGGCGCCCAAGCTAATGTGCGGCTGAACAATTATTCAATTAGAAGCCCAAGAAAGCAAAGTGGATCTGATTTGAAATAATATAGTCTGCTGTGAAAATGTTAACTTAAGATAATCGTCTCTTGGCTGGCTCTCTCGTAATGCTTTACATTCAGAAGGCATTAACTGCTTTTGTGAGCTGTTTGTTGCATCACCAGGCAGCTTTGACTACTCCCTTGCTTCAGGTAGGACTTTTTTTTAGAATTTCTTTGAACATACAAGTATTATGATTAAATAAATTAATTCTGCTTCCCCTGCAGTAGTGCAACAGATGTGATGCCTCATTAAGTAAAAACTGGTATGAATACCAGTAGGTATTTCTCAAAGCAGTCTGATACTGGCTTTCATATATTTAGCTGCCATTTTAAAAATAAAAGGAAAAATCCAGTTGGGTTGGGCAACTAGGGGAGGTTTGCTCTGCTCCGCTGGAAAATGTGTGTGTGTGTAAAATGTTTGACATAGATCAACCCCAACGGAAGCCTCTCACCAAGTTTATTGAGCCAAAGAAGTCTGAGGAAATGCTTCCTCTTGCCTGCAGCAGACTGACTGAATGAAGCACAAGGACTGCTCTACAATAATAGGCTTAATAAGCTTTTCTTTGATAAAAAAAAATGCTAAAAATTATACTGTTGCATATTGGGAGATGTTTACGAATGTAATCATGCAGGCTTGTGGTTACTAAATGGTGCAACCATTCCACCCATGGTGAAAGAAAAGAGAAAAAATTGTGACCTGCCTTACAATACAATACAGAAGGATTAGGAGGGCCCTGCTCATTACAGTGGGACTCAGAAGGAAAAAAAATGCCAATTTCATTTCTTTTTATAAGCAGTGACCACTGCCAAAGCAAGAAGCAAACACTGGAGGACTGAATAAAACCTTTTTTTAAAAGGAGTAAAGATGGAGATTAAATGTGGATTAAAACTTCAGTAAAAACAGTCTTCATTTACTTAGATTTATTCTTCCTTTTTACGATGGAAAAACAAAAAAAAAACAAAAAAAAAAAAAAAAACCTGCCACCTATCCTTAGGCTGAATGTGTGAAATTGTTTAGTCAGATTGGTTTGAGTTAGGTTATTAAAACGAAATCCTATACGATTTTGAATATTTGATTTCCAGCTTCACACACACACACACACTTGGCTTAAATAGAGAAAAAAGAGATGCCTGCACATATCTGCAGCAGCCTCTTATATCGGACATAACAATTTCATTCAAGCTTGAGGATGGTTTGCTTTACAGTGCCTGCAGCTACAGCCTGTTTTAGCCCTGTTTCACATATATGTGGCCGTGCGGACTGCGTTTTGCATGGGCATGAGAGCACATTCATTTGAATGTACTCCCGTGCCTGTGACACGCAGGGAAGAAGAAGTCCCTGCACTTCCTCTGAAAACAGCACACATGGGAACCTCGGTTCCCAGTACGGTTGCGTTTTCCAGTGCAGGCGGTGTGCCATTAGAACTACTGGCACCCACCCACAGGTCTGCATTTCTTGTGTGGGTGGTGCGGCTGCATGGATTTTCCTGCGGATCCGCAGCGGCACCACCCACACAGATGTGAACCTAGCCTTATTGTTTGTTATGAATATGTAAATACAGCCCCAATTCCAAAAAAGCTGGGACACTGTGTAAATCTTTGTAAAAACAAAAAGTTCCTTTGAGAAAGTCAGGTCCTATCTGCTGTCTTGGTTTCTAGTCTCTCATTCATTTCTATACATGTGAGCATTATAGCATAGAATAAAAGGTTTTTGCAGTATATGGCTGCACTGTGATTGGCGTTTATTTTTTTCACATGGTTATTCTGCATTCTAATGACAACATCTTATTTGGGGATGTTAAGCCGAAAGAAAGAAGAAGTGTAATAACAATGAGAGCAAGCCCAGTGACATGTGGGTATAGACTCTAGTAATGTATTTCGGCATGTGGATTGATGCACGAGGAAGGGAGTGCACATGGTGATTTAATTTAACACATTTCAGCATGTGAGAGCACATTTATTTTATATACTGTACTTGTTCATTTGTGAAACAGGATTACACTATATTATTATCTTTTGATGTTGATTGATCTCTCATGAGGACTGAAGCAATTAGGAGAAAGTCTAGATCAAGAGGAGGAAGAAAGAGATTTGTTGACGGATGAATACTAATGATGTTTTAATTTGGTCAGAGTTTTTTGGCATGTGCATCTGGGAATTTACACTGGGTGATACAAAATGGCACAAATATATCTAAACACAGTATATATACATACATACATATATATACACACACACATACATACATATATATACACATACATACATATATATACACATATACATACACATACATATATATACACATACATATATATACATACACATATATATATATATATATATATATATATATATATACATATATATACAGTGGGGATCGAAAATTTGGGCACCCCAGCTAAAAATTCGTATTAATGTGCATAAAGAAGCCAAGGAAAGATGGAAAAATCTCCAAAAGGCATCAAATTACAGATTAGACATTCTTATAATAGGTCAACAAAAGTTAGATTTTATTTCCATCATTTACACTTTCAAAATAACAGAGAACAAAAACATGGCGTCTGCAAAAGTTTGGGCACCCTGCAGAATTTATACCATGCACTGCCCCCTTTGCCAAGCTGAGACCTGCCAGTGTCATAGATTGTTCTCAATCATCGTCTGGGAAGACCAGGTGATGTCAAGCTCAAAGGTTTTAAATGCCCAGACTCATCTGACCTTGCCCCAACAATCAGCACCATGGGTTCTTCTAAGCAGTTGTCTAGAAAACTGAAACTGAAAATAGTTGATGCTCACAAAGCTGGAGAAGGCTATAAGAAGATAGCAAAGCGTTTTCAGATGTCAATATCCTCTGTTCGGAATGTAATTAAGAAATGGCAGTCATCAGGAACAGTGGAAGTTAAAGCAAGATCTGGAAGACCAAGAAAAATATCAGACAGAACAGCTCGCAGGGTTGTGAAAAAAACAATTCAAAACCCACATTTGACTGCACGATCCCTCCAGAAAGATCTGGCAGACACTGGAGTTGTGGTACACTATTCCACTATAAAGAGATACTTGTACAAATATGGTCTTCATGGAAGAGTCATCAAAAGAAAACCTCTTCTACGTCCTCAACACAAAAATCATCGTTTGAACTTTGCAAATGAACATATAGACAAGCCTGATGCATTTTGGAAACAAGTTCTGTGGACCAATGAGGTTAAAATTGAACTTTTTGACCGGAATGAGCAAAGGTACGTTTGGAGAAGAAGGGACACAGAATTTAATGAAAAGAACCTCTGTCCAACTGTTAAGCATGGGGTTGGATCAATCATGCTTTGGGGTTGTGTTGCAGTCAGTGGCACAGGGAACATCTCACGAGTAGAAGGAAAAATGGATTCAATAAAATTTCAACAAATTTTGGATGGTAACTTGATGCCATCTGTGAAAAAGCTGAAGTTAAAGAGAGGATGGCTTCTACAAATGGATAATGATCCTAAACACACACCTCGAAATCCACGGGGGATTACATCAAGAGGCGTAAACTGAAGGTTTTGACATGGCCTTCACAATCTCCTCACCTCAACATAATTGAAAAATCTATGGATAGACCTTAAAAGAGCAGTGCGTGACAGACAGCCCAGAAATCTCAAAGAACTGGAAGACTTTTGTAAGGAAGAATGGGCAAAGATACCTCAAACAAGAATTGAAAGACTCTTGGCTGGCTACAAAAAGCGTTTACAAGCTGTGATACTTGCCAAAGGGGCAGTACCAGATATTAACTCTGCAGGGTGCCCAAACTTTTGCAGACGCCATTTTTTTGTTTTCTGTTATTTTGAAAGTGTAAATGATGGAAATCAAATCTAACTTTTGTTGACATATTATAAGAATGTCTAATCTGTAATTTGATGCCTTTTGGAGATTTTTCCATCTTTCCTTGGCTTCTTTATGCACATTAATACAAATTTTTAGCTGGGGTGCCCAAACTTTCGATCCCCACTGTACGTACATACATACATACATACATATATATATATATATATATATATATATATATATACACACACACACACACACACACATATATATACATATATACACATATACATACATACATACACACACGTAAATACACAGAACAGTTGCATATACAGTCAGGTCCATAAATATTGGGACATCGACACAATTCTAATATTTTTGGCTCTATACACCACCACAATGGATTTGAAATGAAACGAACAAGATGCGCATTAACTGCAGACTGTCACCTTTAATTTGAGGGTATTTACATCCAAATCAGGTGAACAGTGTAGGAATTACAACAGTTTGCATATGTGCCTCCCACTTGTTAAGGGACCAAAAGTAATGGGACAGAATAATAATCATAAATCAGACTTTCACTTTTTAATACTTGGTTGCATATCCTTTGCAGTCAATTACGACCTGAAGTCTGGAACACATAGACATCACCAGACGCTGGGTTTCATCCCTGGTGATGCTCTGCCAGGCCTCTACTGCAACTGTCTTCAGTTCCTGTTTGTTCTTGGGGCATTTTCCCTTCAGTTTTGTCTTCAGCAAGTGAAATGCATGCTCAATCGGATTCAGGTCAGGTGATTGACTTGGCCATTGCATAACATTCCACTTCTTTCCCTTAAAAAACTCTTTGGTTGCTTTTGCAGTCTGCTTTGGGTCATTGTCCATCTGCACTGTGAATTGGCGTCCAATAAGTTCTGAAGCATTTGGCTGAATATGAGCAGATAACATTGCCCGAAACACTTCAGAATTCATCCTGCTGCTTTTGTCAGCAGTCACATCATCAATAAATACAAGAGAACCAGTTCCATTGGCAGCCATACATGCCCATGTCATGACACTACCACCACCATGCTTCACTGATGAGGTGGTATGCTTAGGATCATGAGCAGTTCCTTTCCTTCTCCATACTCTTCTCTTCCCATCACTCTGGTACAAGTTGATCTCGGTCTCATCTGTCCATAGGATGTTGTTCCAGAACTGTGAAGGCTTTTTTAGATGTCGTTTGGCAAACTCTAATCTGGCCTTCCTGTTTTTGAGGCTCACCAATGGTTTACATCTTGTGGTGAACCCTCTGTATTCACTCTGGTGAAGTCTTCTCTTGATTGTTGACTTTGACACACATACACCTACCTCCTGGAGAGTGTTCTTGATCTGGCCAACTGTTGTGAAGGGTGTTTTCTTCACCAGGGAAATAATTCTTCGGTCATCCACCACAGTTGTTTTCCGTGGTCTTCCGGGTCTTTTGGTGTTGCTGAGCTCTCCGGTGCGTTCCTTCTTTTTAAGAATGTTCCCAACAGTTGTTTTGGCCACGCCTAATGTTTTTGCTATCTCTCTGATGGGTTTGATTTGTTTTTTCAGCCTAATGATGGCTTGCTTCACTGATATTGACAGCTCTTTGGATATCATCTTGAGAGTTGACAGCAACAGATTCCAAAGGCAAATAGTACACTTGAAATGAACTCTGGACCTTTTTATCTGCTCATTGTAATAGGGATAATGAGGGAATAACACACACCTGGCCATGGAACAGCTGAGAAGCCAATTGTCCCGATACTTTTGGTCCCTTAACAAGTGGAAGGCACATATGCAAACTGTTGTAATTCCTACACTGTTCACCTGATTTGGATGTAAATACCCTCAAATTAAAGCTGACAGTCTGGAGTTAAAGCACATCTTGTTCATTTCATTTCAAATCCATTGTGGTGGTGTATAGAGCCAAAAATGTTAGAATTGTATCGATGTCCCAATATTTATGGACCTGACTGTACATACATTGTGTGTATATACAGTCAGGTCCATAAATATTGGGACATCAACACAATTCTAACATTTGTGGCTCTATACACCACCACAATGAATTTGAAATGAAAAGAACAAGATGTGCTTTAACTCCAGACTGTCAGCTTTAATTTGAGGGTATTTACATCCAAATCAGGTGAACGGTGTAGGAATTACAACAGTTTGCATATGTGCCTCCCACTTGTTAAGGGATCAAAAGTAATGGGACAATTGGCTTCTCAGCTGTTCCATGGCCAGGTGTGTGTTATTCCCTCATTATCCCTATTACAATGAGCAGATAAAAGGTCCAGAGTTCATTTCAAGTGTGCTATATGCATTTGGAATCTGTTGCTGTCAACTCTCAAGATGAGATCCAAAGAGCTGTCACTATCAGTGAAGCAAGCCATCATTAGGCTGAAAAAACAAAACAAACCCATCAGAGAGATAGCAAAAAACATTAGGCGTGGCCAAAACAATTGTTTGGAATATTCTTAAAAAGAAGGAACGCACCGGTGAGCTCAGCAACACCAAAAGACCCGGAAGACCACGGAAAACAACTGTAGTGGATGACCGAAGAATTCTTTCCCTGGTGAAGAAAACACCCTTAACAACAGTTGGCCAGATCAAGAACACTCTCCAGGAGGTAGGTGTATGTGTGTCAAAGTCAACAATCAAGAGAAGACTTCACCAGAGTGAATACAGAGGGTTCACCACAAGATGTAAACCATTGGTGAGCCTCAA